AGAAGTCCGAAGAGTACAATCTGCCACTTTGCCTGGCGTATGTGGACTATGAGAAAGCCTTTGATTCCGTCGAAATTTGGGCGGTGCTACAGTCTCTTCAGCGGTGCCTAGTTGACTGTCGGTATATTGAAGTGCTGAAGTGTTTGTACAGTAGGGCTACGATGGCTATCCGAGTACAGAACCAGAGTACGAAACCTATCCAACTGCAGAGAGTGTAAGACAGGGTGATGTTATATCCCCGAAACTCTTCACCGCTGCGTTGGAAGACGTTTTCAAGCTACTGGACTGGAAAGGATACGGTATTAACATCAATGGCGAGTACATCACTCACCTTCGATTTGCCGACGATATAGTCCTTATGGCAGAATCGCTGGAGGACCTTAGCACTATGCTCAATGACCTCAATGGTGTCTCCCAACGGATAGGTCTTAAGATGAACATGGACAAAACAAAGATCATGTTTAATGTCCTTGTCACACCTATGCCGGTAATTGTTGGGAGCACTATGCTCGAAGTTGTTGACGAGTACGTTTACCTGGGACAAATAGTCCGACTAGGTAAATCCAACTTCGACCGAGAGGTCAATCGACGGATTCAACTCGGCTGGGCAGCGTTCGGGAAATTACGACACATCTTCTCATCAGGTATACCTCAATCTCTGAAAACTAAAGTGTACAACCAGTGCGTGTTGCCAGTGATGACTTACGGATCTGAGACGTGGTCCTTCACCGCTGGCCGTATGAGGACGCTCAAGGTCGCTCAGCGAGCTATGGAGAGGGCTATGCTCGGAGTTTCACTGCGTGATAGACTCAGAAATGAGGATATCCGCAGTGAAACCAGAGTGACCGACATAGCCCAACGGATTAGTAAGCTGAAGTGGCAATGGGCCGGCCATATAGCTCGAAGAACCGATAACCGATGGGGAAGAAAGGTTCTCGAGTGGCAGCCTCGTACCGGTAGGCGTAGTGTAGGGCGACCCCCCACTAGATGGAGTGACGACCTGGTAAGACATGCAGGAAGTCGATGGATGCAGGTGGCTCAGGACCGTGCTTTGTGGCATTACTTGGGGGAGGCCTATGTTCAGCAGTGGACTTGTGAAGGGCTGTAATGATGATGATGATGATGAAGGAAGAAGGATATCGATACCCCTCTGTAGTTGGATGGGAATTATTCCATCCTCCCCGCTTGATTTAAATGGTTCAAAGGAGTCAAAAGGCCACTGCACCAGGTTTGGCCTTATTATCTTTGCAGCCCTACGCCAGTCCTCATTGCAAGGCCTTCGTAGGGCTCTAAAAGAGTTCAAGGCTGAAGTCTTGTGTGACCCTGGGAAATGGGTTGACGCTAGTAACTCCAATGTTTCTGTTTCACTATTAGTGAAGTTACCATCCGGCTTTTTAAGAAGCCCGATCTGATTAGGTTTAGCTTTCGATAGCATCTTGTGTAGTCTTGCACTGCGAGGCAAAGACTCAACTTCCTCGCATAGCTTCCTCCACGATGCTCTCTTGGCTTTCCTAATTTCTTTATTATATTCAGTTAGGGCTGCACTATAAATATCCCACTCTTTGGTTTTCTTAGCCCTATTAAATAGTTTCCTGGTCTTTTCCCTAAGGTATTTCAGCTTAGAATTCCACCAAGAAACTTTTCGTGTTGAGTTCTTGGTTTTGACGGGACAACTGTCCTCGAAGGCTTCATGGATACCTACGGTTACTGTCTCTGTCGCTAACTCCAGACCTTCAATTGTTTTGATGCTTTTAGGAAATGTTTCCAAATTCCTCCTTAGGCTATCTCTATAGATACCGCAAGAGGTCGCTTTCGGATCCCTAAAAGTAACGGTTTCAAAGGATGGTGATGCTCCAATCACAAAATGGTTCGGGCTCCATTGCCGCGTCAGAGCCTCCCCTGACTTTAAAAGTTATCATCTTAAAGCCAAGGATGACTCTGCCGCCTGCCTTCCGAAGAGCTTCCGCCGATGGGTCGTCCAGAGAAAAGGTTACTAAGAACCCATTCTCCTCGTCCCTACGGTGGAGGATTCTCCAGAGCTTAGTATGGAGCCCTTCATTTTGTGCTCTCAACAGCACAGCCGCCTCCTCTGGAGAGTCGGCTTCGCTGCGGGGCAAGTAGGTAATGCCCAGCGTAGGCTAAGGCAGTTCGCCCTCGGGTACTACCGAGAGCTCTGCCTCCGGCCAGGGCTTTAGTTTTCCGATTTCACCCACAATCCAGTCCTGGATTGCCTTATTCAGGCACGTTACCAGAATCCAACCTGGCTTGTGTGTGAAACCGGAAAATTTTGGGCCCATTCCCGCCTGCGACCCACAGGCCGTCTTAGCGATGGCCTGTGTTTGTGTCCGGTGGACCAGCCGCATCTGCTCCACACTCATAGGATTCGAATTGCGAATTCCTATACGCGCGGAGCCAGCTACGGCAAAGCTGAGCTTCTTCTCCTCCGTTGCAAGCTTCACAGTCTTCCTGGGCTGGTCTTTGGGGGACTCTTCCTCAGAACGACTGCGTTTTTTCGCCTTCGGAACTGGGGGAGGCTTGGGCAGAGGAATTTCGTCCCAAGGCTTCCGGCAGAGAGAGAGGGCCTCTTCGGCTCCAATCTCAGCTGCTATCAGCCTTCGGTACCTTTTCCTCGCAGCCCCACTAAGCTTATAAGGCCTAGCGAACTTTTTCTTTTCCCCTCCCTGGTTCGTTTCCGATTGTGATTCGTCTGCAAACGTGCCTTCCACTTCACGGCTCTTCCCAGGTTGGGGCGCACTGTTGCAGGGTGTTGGTGAGGCTAAAAGAGCCTCTTCCAAACCTGCAGCTAATTCCATTAAAGGAGACTTCTCACTGTCTTTTACAAAATGTCGGTTTTCATCCATTTTGTTCCCACGAGTAGCTAGGGAAATACTTGGTCACCCCCGGCAGAGCCCCGCATGCCGAGGGAAGGGCTAAAATACTACCCGAATCGCCCTGGTCTCGGGTAAGCACCGTTTGCGACTAGACTCCCTCCAGCCACGCATCCATCGGCACAGTACGCTTGACACCTTGGATTGAGTTGGGATAGGAAAAGGGGGAGGGATAAAAGAAAAGAAAAAGAGGATCGTCCGAGTGTTTCTGTTCTGTCTGTTTCCTATTGAACCAGACCAAATAACAGGCGGCAACCACGTGAAGGAGAACTCCTCAGATTTGCCCTGGGGATCAACACGACCTGCGCTCTCCCCCAGAGCCATAAACCAAACTGCTCGCCGGACAGGAGAGCATAATAGGTATTAACCTAGTCCTATTTATAATATCAAAAAGTTAGGAGTAGACTAACCCCCGCCCCCGTGGCAGCTATACAAGCCGATCTCTGGTAACGCCGAATCTTTCGTATAGTGAGGTCTTCGTTAGTTTTCGTCCACCATACCAGAGAGCCGTATGTGATCATGAACCGAATTACAGTTTTGTACAGCCACAGTATAACTTTTGGCGTCAAACCCCATCGTTTGCCAATCATGTTTCTACATTGCAAGAAAGTAAAACTAGTTTTGTTGATTTTGTTGTCTATGAAGTTTACTGTCCAAGGTAAGACCTAAGTATTTTACCTCGGAGGATAGCGGGAGTTTTGTGCTGAAAAGACTTGGGAGATGATAGTTATTCAGCATTTGTTTTGTGTGACCATTACTAGAACCGTTTTGTTTGGATTAACTGTTATGTCATATTCCCTGCACCATCTCTCCACAATACGGAGAGCCGCTTGGGTCAGGTCGCACACAATGCTTGCTGTCTTTCCAGAGACCAGTATTGTCAGATCATCTGCATAACCAACTGTGTAGAAATGATTAGCATTTAATTTGCTGATGAGTTCATTAATGACCATGTTCCACAGGAGAGGTGAAAGAACCCCACCCTGCGGGCATCCTTTCATGATCCGAATTGTCTGAGATTCAGCAGCAATCTTTATTGTTTGTGTACTGAGTATGTTTACTATCCAGTCAATCAGTGCCAGTTCAACATTATGTCTACTTAGGGCACCTTTTATGCTGGAGAAATTTGTTCTGTCAAAAGCACCTTCTATGCCTAAGGAGCCTAGACAAATTACTTTGTTTTGGATTTGGGAACGCCGAGTACTATTTGGACAGGTTAGAGTTGGATACATTGCTGGGAGAAGTGTGTAGAGTTACAAGGAGACTTTATAGAAAAAAAAAACTGTCTTGTATCTTTGTTAGGTCAGAAACTTTTTGACCAATCACATATGTGAACTATGATAAAAAAAACCTTTTCGCAAACCAGTTTGTTTGGAAAGCTGTAAATCGTCAATGACTTTTGAATAATAGATATACAAATGGCTCAGAAGGGAAATCAGTATTTATTCAATAGAACTTGAAGACAACAGCTCTTTAATTCTGTAGAGCACTCCAGCTACAGAACTGAAGCCAACTGAGCTGAGCCAACCATAGGATTCCCTAAACACAAATGTTTGGCAAAAATTGTTATATTTATTGCTATAGCTAAATAGTTCAGGTCCATACTTTTTACATGTCAAGTTTTTTTGTTTGATAAATAATTTTCTTTTTCTGTTGCTACACTAAGTAGAAACTAGAAACATTATTAAAATCTGCTGATATGTCGTGTTATCTATGTCTACTATGAAACTCTTTCTTTCAGTAAATATTGAAGAGAAGCATATTTGTTATGTTTTAAACGTAACAAATATGCCTCATTTCTTACAATAAAGATATAATACTACAAATATTTCACTATAAAAATCTAGTTATTAAATCAAGTTGATATATAATAATCATCTGTGTACTGTTCTTGGAAATAAAACTATAGTGTCTCAAAAACAAAGCTTCACAAAAAATTTCTTACTATGAGAAAACAATAGAACTATGTACACTCAAAACTCAACTCAATACAATGAAAATCAGTATCACTTTGCCGGATAAGGTTATTATGAAAAATTATAATAAAATGAAATAAAATGAAGTTTTAGATAAAATTAGCTTATTTTATTGTCACCTTAATTTCTAAGTGTATTAGTGTACAATAGCTCCTAGAGGTTCTGCCTTAATATTACCAAGGTCCAGCCTGCTATCTATAGATTCGTCGATTTGCCCGACGATTGCCACATTATCGCCTCGGATTATGTGAAGACCAAGAACTACTTGTGCTACACCAGTCGATGAAGAAAACACTCTTTCATGGGATTCATCCAATATAATATTAATCGTTTGATCAAACCCTTTTAGTGTGCCAATAAAATTACGCCCGTCAGACGTGATAACTGACACGGTCTGATTTATATAATTCTCCAAACCTGATGCCATAATTACTTTCTCTCTAACGCACAATTTTTAATCCGATAAAAACAGTATTATACATCAGTTAAGCTGGCACTTATTTTAGTTAATAAGCATCCTTTACAGCTTTGCGAAAAATATATATCTTTCCTCTTTGAAAGTTAGAATTTTGAATCGAGCAAATAGAGGAAAGCAAAGCGTCATATCATAGAGCAGAGATTTATGGCAAGTTGACAACCATAGCTAAGTAATTTTTTTTATTAACTGGCTTTACGGCTCTGGGTTCTAGCTCTTCTGAGCCTGAAGATACAATGTTTAATACTATCTTCAAAAATTACGAAATATGTATCAAAAATTCACTTTCAAACTGATTAACAAATCACAAAAAGCTTATTCACGTTTGCTCTATTGTTAATATCACGTTATCATTTTTATATATTTTGAACACCAGAAATAAAGGAATATAATGGTCGGAAGAATTTTTGATCAATTAGAATTTGCAGGGTATCAGGAACTTTATCATTGTTAATATCTTGAATGGAATTAATAAGGAATAATCTATTCAAACCAAATTGACAATATTGAAAAACCAGATATATTTTGGTCCCTTTCGTGTCATCACAATATTCACAATTTGCATTTTCTTTCAATGGGGCGTACTCTGCTATGTCTAAATCTCATTCGGTTTACGGTCGTAGTATTTTTTTTTATTATTAATTCCTTTTTGTTGTACCAAGGAGTATCTGGCGGACTTTTTTGTATTTCATAATACCAACTTCCATTGGAATTACGTTTGCCTGGCTTAACTGAGCACGTCATCAGGACGGACGAGTCTACATTTACCAGAAACGGCCTGTGGAACCGTAGAAATACTCACGTGTATGGCGAGGTTAACTCGCACGCTATTCAACAAACCGAGCACCAAACATGATGGTCAGTTAACGTATGGGCAGGTTTATTTAAGGATCGCATACTAGAACCAGTGTTTCTGCCACAGCGACTTAACGGACAGCGATACCTAAACTTTATAAATGAACCGTTGATTAACATTTTGGACGACCTATCGTTGGCTGAATATCACCGCACATGGTTCCAGCATGATGGTGCACCTCCACATGTCGTGAGGTTCATCCGTGAGCGCCTCACCAAACTATTTCATGATCGCTAGATCTGCGTACTAGGACCACACGCTTGACCATCTTGCTCACCTGATCTCACCCCGTTAGACTTCTTTCTGTGGGTGTATGTAAAAGAAAGGGTTCTTAATCGTGAGTGTGATAGTGCTGACGAAATGCGCCATAGGATCGTGGATATTTTTGACAAACTACGTGTGGATTGTGTCGAAGACCCCATGATGATGTCCCGCCTGCGTGAAGAGACGCAACACCGAGCCCAAATCTGCCTCGAAATGAATGGGACACAATTTGAGCCGCATCTCATAAGGCCACGGAGGATTTATATCGGTAAGCTGTTTAATACCTATTTTTTTAAATAATTTAATTTTGACTGATGTGAATAGGTACGTAACTGAATTTATCAAAATAATAAGCAATGGTGTAGGTAACACGATGGACAAAAAAGCATGACAATCGTTATTAAAATTTCATTCAAGTAAATTTTTCATTAGTGGGGAATCGAACCAGGTATTTGATTTTTTTAACCTGTGAATTCGAATTAAAGTGGCTAGGTAGAGACTAGCACAGTTGCAAATAGTAGATTAAATGGATAAATTAAGCATTTAGACAAGTGTTGTAAATGATTAGTTACTAGTACGATGTGGGCTACGTGTCGGCGTTCGTCGCGCGTTTATTGACTCTTTATCAGCTGATTTCAGGTATTGAAGTTTCATTGCTGGTTTTATGTTTAGGTATATTCATGATTTTTTAATGAAATTATCGTTTCATTTACCTGTACTAACATGATAGAGCGTGAATAAAGCTAATTAAACGTTGTAAAAAAAGAAGAGGAGACCCTTTTTACTGGAAACGAGGCATTCCATCTTAGTCTCACGGGTGACAACGCATCTGCATTTTCATTTGTAATCGAGGATAGATGTAGATATCTACGGGCCGCAGCAACTACTTACAATCAGGTGGACTGTGTGCTCGTTTGTCACCCTATTCTATAGAAAACATACAAAATAAAAAGGTGTATTAATTTCAACGATGAGAACCGTGGTGGCTCAGAGGAGCCCCGGTAGCTCAGATGGTTAGCTCTCGCGTTAAATTTCACAGTACGCTAGCAAACCGGGTTCGATCCCCGCTGGTGTCAATGAAATCGTAAATTGCAATTTTAAGTGCTGATCTACCACGTGCTCGGCGGTGAAGGAAAATATCGTGAGAAAGTCTGACTGTCTGAGAAATAAGAAAAAATATTTCGAAGACATGTGAAGTTCGCCAACACGCATAGGGGCAGCGCGGCGGACACTTCTTTGCCCTAAAACCCTCTCAGAAGTGAGGTAAGGCCCAGCATTGGGACGTAAACAGGCTGTAACTTAACTATTTCAACGATGATATTCTGAAATAATCAGATGATTAAATTATAGCTAGGCAACAATAAAAACTATATGGATGGATGTATATATAAGTATAAAATTGAATAAATATATAACATGGGTACTCATTTCTTTAAAAGGCTCCTGGTACTTATTCGATTTACTGTATCTGCGGTACTAATTATTTACGAATGGTACTGTAGGTATCAGCAATCTTGCTCTAGGTTGAAACATACCGCAACGTTACACGATTTGCAAAACTGAAACCTACGTAAAAAGTTTTCACTTTTCAAAATTCTTTTGAATTTTGCAAAGTGCATACAGATAAAATGTACATTAAAAAAACGGATATAAGAAACATGTGTCTGAGGTGACCTTAAAAACCACAGCCTGTTTATATTAGAATAAAAAAAATAAAAATTTCAAATATTAAATATTAAAATAAAAATATTAAAAAGCATATGTAAATACTTTCTACTTTTCTGTTTTAATAAATTGTTTAAAAAATTCCGAAGTCTTGTGTTAACATACATGGCATATCCAAATGCCACATCTAATTTTTGCATAAATCATCGAATGAGATTTGAATCAACCAAGCTCCGTTTATCTGCTCGAGGGCGCTAGATTCTTTACGATTCTAACAATTCAACCGAATTTGAACGTCATGCAGTATGGCAAACTTTAGTTCCTTTTTTCGCCACCCGCAAAACAAAGAACTAGAATTCACTACTGCGGGAGACTCATAGATGGACACTATTGCACCTATTGCGTATTTACATTGAAATTTTGAAAATATTGCACTTTATCCTCATTTTTATGTACTAAAACTGTAAATGATTAACAATTACACATATTTTGACACAAAACTGACAGTCAACACTAAAATTTTACGTACATTTCAAGTCAAATTTCCGCAACCAGCATGTTAGTTCTAAGATAGCGGTTTGCTTCATACAAATTAAAAAACAATTTTAGACGTACTTAATGAGATAAAACAGAAAATGAGATTACAAATAAGGAGGTTGCTTACCCAGGCATTGTTTTAACACAATTCACCACACAATTAAAACAAATTAGTATAAAATAATTGCTAACAACTTTGTTGTTAGCGCGCGTCAGTCACACTAATGGCTGACTCAAGGCACGGACGACTTTATCGGATGGTATATATAAAAAATCCTACCAAAGTGTATAAGCTGTGGGGTCCATATGGTAACCTTTTTTATCCTGTACACATCGACATATGGTAGAATGAGTTAGACATAGTGGGTAATGCTTTATTTCGACATTAAAAGAGCGGGTGAAAAATGTCCAGTACTTGGACACCCGCAGTCAACGGAGATATTTTCGTGTCCAAGGGTTAGACGTCCGCAGTTGAGAGGATATTAAGTTGATGTATAGTAATATTTACACACTTACTGTATGTAATTGTTATTATGGAAACTAACTTATAAAAGAATATAAATATTGTTTTAACAAACCTAATTAAGCTATCTCTAACATAAGAGGTAGGATAATAAAAAAGTAATATTAAAAAAGGTAAATTAATAGCTAACGCATGATTAACAAAAACACGCTTAAGGTCTGCTTCGGACCGAATTCGCGTTACAGGCTTTCCATCTTCCTTTCTCACAAAAATATGTACACCCTTCGTCCAAGTATAACGCCATTTTGCTTTTTTCGCTGCCTCGCGAGTCTTACCAAACAACTTCCTATTCAAAGGTGTTAACCACTCATTCACGTAAAACCGACGCGGCTCACCGGGTAACCCCAGTGACTCAGTGGTTACTGTCCGCCGAACACGCGCGGAACGTAGAAATTCATCTCGCAGCGCTCGCCGACTCATTCGCACCATAATTCTACGTGGTCCCAAACGAACTTCTTCTTGAGAGCTATTAATGTCGTCAATAGATTTGCGTAATATTCCGACACGCTCGGCATGGATAATTTCACGGTGGTCAATATCAAGGCCTAACTTTCTAGCACATAGTATCACAGTGTTAATGGCTAGTTCCCCCTTTTGTTCCGGTAGACCTGAGGTTTCCAAGTTATTGGCTAACAGATCCTGATCCCTCTCGCTTAGTTGGATCCTTAATTCTGCTATTGTGTTCTCAAGCTCCATGGACTTACATTTGTGCTCACGTTCTTCCATTCGGTTCTGCAACTTGGTGACCCTAGTGTCAATTTCTTCCAAATTTTTATTACACACGAGCATTGTATCCCTTAACATGGCGAAATTGTCTCTGATCTCCTTCAGCTCATTGCGCATTTCACTGAGCTCATTAGGAAACAGGCGTATTTCTAGGCCTATGTCAATGTCTTTGTAGACGGGACTATTATTTCCAACATCCTGACACTTTACCGGTGTATTAGAATTGTCCCCAGCACGAGGAACTTTACTCTTACAAGTTGGGCACATCCAGGAAGTTGATATCTTTACCTTTTCAGATAAGTTAAGGCAGCCTCGATGATATGTGGCATCACATTTGTCACAGGTAACGCCATCTGTCACCGAAAGGTAGCGGCCGCATGCTCCACACTTTGCCATATTATTGATATATACAAAGAATATTAATCTATGCAACTAGTGGCCACTAGATGGCACAGAAGGGATTATATCAATTAATAACAATATACTAAATGTAAAAACTTAGTTTTTTATAAGTAAATTAATAATATTCCACTTCGTTAGATACACTGGTAATTAAATGTTTTTCAAATTGTAATAATATATGGAATAAGTTTGTAAGTTCGGACAAATTAGTATCTTTGCTACACAACAACAATTAAAGGGTACTTTTACACTGATTGTTTCCTTATTTACACTTTTACCTTTGATTACTTTTAAATTACACCACACTAATATTCAGTATCTCCAATATTTGTTATGTTAAGCACATATAACTTTTGTAACTTTAATACTTAAATAAATTCAATTAAACTCGATTACCTTAAGAGCACAGTAGGTACTACTCGCTGTCCGTATATCGACATCCAATACCTTACAGCCTTAAATTTCTTGAAGAGATGCCGAGACCATAATCTCATTCCTACGTGTGTCAAAATATCAACCAAAAAGGACATTCGAGGAAGCGCTAAGGTCTTAAATCATGCGAGTAAAAATTTTTTACATGGAAACATTAAATAAACGCGAAATCAGTAAACGAATGCAAAAACAAACATATAGAAAAATATCAAAAATTTACGACCAAATCAAAAACATCCGAATCAATTTCAATGCCAGAACCAAAGGCAACCATTGACAAACACAGATCATAGATTAATCGCGTTCTATAATCTGTCAAAACAAACACTGGATGATGCGTAGACAGAGAAACCCTATAGACTAATGATTAGCGTGGCCTTGAGTGAGAAAGGACGATAACGTAGTTTTAGGTTATACAATAAATTTTATGACTTTTAAACATATTTAGATAAAAATTTTAATTGTTCTAAGAACTGAATTGAACAAGGATTCACCAATCTTAAGCTCACACAACACTTTTTTCTCACTTAAACCAACTTTTAAACTCCTTAGATCGCTACGAACTGTCAAAGTTGTTTAGCAAAGTGTAGTTTGCTAAAAAAACCGGCACGGAGAAAGGGATAATAATCACACCGCTCTGTCTCATTTCTATGCACGACGTATGTATAAATCTATCTTTTTCGTGTGCGAATGCGAAAGAAGATGTCAATTTGTCTATAAGTTTCTCTGTCTACGGGATGATGCAACAATTAGGTTGGGGTTTTATTCAAAGGTCTCATCTATGCGGTAACACCACGCAGATTACCGTACGAAGAAATTATCTGTAATGTCGAGGACTGTTTATTTAAAAACAATATGCGGAAAGAAGATTCGGAGGCGATTCAGTGCTTAAACCGAATCTTCCCAAAGACGAATTTATAGCGTTAAAGAACCTACGCAATAAACCAGAACTCACGATTCTCCGCGCAGATAAGGGAAACGCCACGGTAGTCATGGATACGTCAGATTATAATTCTAAAATACAAGAACTTTTGTCGGATGTAAGCACTTATAAAAAGGTTAAAAACGACCCAACAAATAGCACACTAAAAACAACTAGTGACATCATAAAGAAATACTCTGAAAAATTAAATCTGGGCGTAAAATGGATAATATCTAAGTGCGCCAAATAACCAAAGTTGTATGGGTTACCAAAAATACACAAGCCCAATGCTCCATTACGTCCCATAGTGAGCCAAATCGATTCACCAACTTAAACCCTCAGGGGACATACAAGAGCACACATAAAGGATTCCTACCATTTTGTCAGCGAGATGAAAGCCCTACATCTGGCAGACAAGGAAACTATGGTCAGTTTTGATATGCAGTCATTGTTTACATGCTTACCTGTTGAAGACTGCATCTCAATTGTAACTAGAAGGCTGGTAGAAAACAACATGCCCGTAAAATATGCAGTATTACTCAGACACTGCCTTACATCCCTATTGTGGAAGGAAGAGTTCTACAAGCAAGTAGATGGTGCGGCAATGGGCTCACCTGTATCTCCCATTGTCGCCGACATATTCATGGAAGACTTGGAGGAGAAAGCCCTACTTACTTCTCCCATAAATCCAAGATTCTACAAGAGGTACGTAGACGACATTTTCACAATTCTACCTTTAGATAAAGTAACTGCATTTTCAGACCATCCTAACTCTATGAATTCAAAAATTCAGTACACAATGGAGTTAGAGGCAAACAATTCCTTAGCTTTTCTAAATGTACGAGTATTAGTAATTCGGAATCCTGATAATACCTTCAGCCATACTGTGTATAGAAAAAAGACCCATACAGATAGATATTTAAACGGTGATTCTCATCACCATCCTTCACAATTAGCTACCGTGGGTAAATCTTTGTTTCAGAGAGCACGAGGGATCTGTGAAAGTGAACACCTGGTTGCCGAGTCAAGCAAGTTTTGCATGACAACAAGCTTCGGGTCCCGCGCCTACTTCACAGTGAACGAGTGAAGCCGGCCACAGTCGAGCGTGTACCTGCTGTACTGCCATATGTTAGAGGAGTCACTGACAAGATTGGCTACATCTTGAAGCGCGCTTCCATCAAAACATACTTCAAGCCGCCGAAGAAGATTGGTCAGTTTTTACTATCAGTCAAGTATAACGTCCCTCTGCAAGATGCAGGAGTGTACAAGCTTGATTGTGAGTGTAGTCTCTCCTACATAGGACAAACTAAAAGATCAATAAAAACCCTAAGAACATATAGCTGATGTGAAGAATTGACGCTCCGGGAAGTCTGCAGTCTGTGAACACGTACAGGATCGCCCCCGTTACTACATCAGATTTGAGAGACCACAAATCCTCGCTAAAGAACACCGATTCCTTCCAAGGATGATTCGCGAGGCTATTGAAATAAAAAAAACATCCTAATTTCAATAGAGAAGATGGCTGGGTGCTACCATCTGCTTGGGATCCTATAGTATATAAAATTAAATCCCAACCCAAGCATACAACTGCAAGACTTCAAGATTAAGTTCATACTGTGTAGATAAGAACAAAAGTTAAATTTTTGTCTATGGTAACCGCTATTAACTATGACATTTGGACGTTGAACATCTCAGTCCCCCCCGTGACCATGGGTGCTGTAAAGTGCTCGAAACGACGGGTATTTATAGTTAAATATACACGATAAAATCCGTAAAAACTAGTATTATTTCAATGTGTAGTGTTCGCGTAAATATAAGAAATCATTACATTTTTACCTTTCTTTACAGCTTCCAAATAGTCCATGTCCTACCAAGGAACTGATTTTCTCATAACAAACACATTAGGTTTGAAAATTATAGTTATACAGTCTTTCCTTATTTCTAGAAGTGTGCTGCAGAAGTTTTCATCAGTATCAAGCAAACTGGATGTATTAATTGTGAAGTTTTCAAACTTATTTTTTGTTTCAGCCTGGAACTTTTACCAGTCTGCTTTTTTATAATTGAAACGTTCTCAAGGTTCTCCTGTATCATATTTTTCAACCGTAGACAGAGAAACCTATAGACTAATGATTAGCGTGGCCTCGAGTGATAAAGGACGATAACGTAGTTTTAAGTTATACAATAATCTTTATGACTTTTAAACATATTTAGATAAAATTTTTAATTGTTCTAAGAACTGAACTGAACAAGATTTACCAATCTTAAGCTCACAAAACACTTTTTTTCTCACTTAAACCAACTTGTAAACTCCTTAGATCGCTACGAACTGTCATAGTTGTTTAGCAAAGTGTAGTTTGCTAAACAAAAAAACCGGCACGGAGAAAGGGACAAACGATCACACCGCTCTGCTTCATTTCTATGCAAGACGTATGCATAAATCTATCTTTTTTCTGTGCGAATGCGAAAGAAGGCGTCAATTTGTCTATAGGTTTCTCTTTCTACGATTTCAACACAAGTATATAAGTTGACTATGGTTGGATAGTGATAACTACCCATAGGAGCATCATATACATGCCAATCACATAAAGAAACTAAAGAAGGACTAACACATGAAAGATCAATAGAAGATTGATTAAAATTAACACCTGAAAGCAACAGTGGCGCATGAGGTAGACTGTTAATAATTTATTTTAATCTTCTAACCTTATAGCGCCCTCCACTAGATGGGGCATAGACACGTAAAATGGATATATTACCTAGACTTGTAGTAAGGATGCGTAAGCATTATAGTATTCTGTGTAGTAAGGGTTATAGCTACCGACTGCATATAATCATAGATCATTGTGGGGACAACAAAATATTGCTACTCCTCCACGTCCATTTTTTCCATTCTGACTAATGAAGTTATTGTTCGGCATATTGATAGTTTTATTCTCTCGTAGCCAAGTTTCATTTAACAGGCAAATATCTATATCATTCTCAACTAGATAAAAGTTTAAACAAAAGTTTAAACTTAAAAAATACTATTAACAGATTGTATATTAAATTGTGAAATTCGAATAATTTGTTTATTTATTGTTTTTAAGATTAGTAATAAGCATTTCTTTTATACTTGATGTAGTCAGTTTACAGCCTGAGGTACCCATGGCCACGAATGCTCCAATAATTGCGCAAAAATTATCATTTGTTATAATTTGGTCAATAAGAGTGTCATTGTTATTAGTTGTGGTATTAGTTTGGGTAGTTTCCGTCTTTGATTTGTGTACTTTAGGTGTGTCATTAGATTTAACTTGTGATTAATCTACTGTTTTTGAATCCATGATTATTTTTATAGGAATTGAAGGGAAATTTTTGTTATAATTTTTAAATGCATAAGTAGACCTATTATATTTTTCATCAATTATTTGCTTTTTTAATGGACAATCTCTAGAAATTGCGACATGAGAGCCACTACAATTTATGCATTTAATTACCGTATTTTCCTTACAGTCAGTGTACCGATGTTCATTTGCACAAATTGAACACCGTTGCACTGATTTACAAATTGTAAAAGCGGGGCAATATATTGATGCACCCTATATTGGAATAAATCCAGATGTACAAAATCAGGTAAGTTGGTTGACAAAAATGTTACACTTAC